CGACCTATGTGGAGGGGAAATGGCCACGGTGCTGGAACGCCGCCGTGAGCAATAAGTTAAAGGTGACCAAGCCACAGTGGGGTCCCTGGCCGTCAAGCTCATGCAGGGTGAGACGCAAGGCAGGCCTCAGCAGGGAACGAATTGGCCACACGCACGCGACGCTTGGATGGATACCTTTTCTACGGTGGAGAGCGTCTCCATTGTCTGCGTTGCGATGCGCCGCTTACGGTTCGATGCGTTATTCACAATTGCCCAGAGCTCAGCGAAAAGCGGCACTGTGTTTCGGACAAGATGTCGCAGGTCTTATCTTTCTGGACCTCATTGGCGACGATTTTCGTATGCGTGATACGGAACAGCTGTTCTCATTTTTCACAAGCGTAGGATTTACAGCCATCTATACACCTCTGTAGCCACTTGACTGTCATGGGCGCAAAATGACCTCAGAAGTCGGTGCAACTTAAACCCCTCATCATCTCAACTGACAAAAGCTATCCTCAGAACATGCCAACAAATGGATTTCTCTCCGCCTTCGTCCAAATTTATTCTCAGCGGTGGATGGGTGGAGTTGGGGGGGGGGGGGGGGAAGGGGGCGGGGAGCCGACACCTCCGCAACTGAATAGGAAACTGACACCCTTGGTAGCATCACATCATGCTTCGGCAGCAGTCATGTTGTGACGCTGCTCGCACAGCGAACAGTGTGGCGCGAGGTGGTAACCGCCCACCGACGGTCACGACGGCGTGCAGGCGCTGTCACCAGATCACCAGCTCGGTGCGAAGTCTCCGTCGCGTGCGGGGCGCGCCTCATCTGGCCCCCGGCAGGCGCCACTGATGGGATCAGATGACGCCGCCATGATGTGACGGGCGCGCTTATTGGCGGGCTCGAGAGGCGAGCAGGCGCTGGACATGAATCGTGATGAGGCGGCCCGCTCTCGTGCCACTCGCCTAGATCGTGACAAACTGTGGCGCAGTTCCAGCAGGGAGCATGTTGCATTGCTTCGCACGCCGATTTTGCCGCTCTTGAAAAATAGCCGTGTCTCCTGCGCACACCTGTAGGGACCCAGCCAGGCTGGGGACGGGGGGGGGGGGGGCGGTTAAAGTGTCGTGAAGCCGTCGGATGACGTCATCGCAGCTCAGCGGTGACGTCACGACTCCACCGGCCGGCGGACTTTCTCTGGTCCCCGGTCCCAGCGATGCTCCGACGTTCGCGAGCCGGCGAAACTGGCCGAGCGACGCGCGCTGGCCGCCGCGGCCGGTGTGGCTGGACGGTCAGTTGCGACACCAGCGACACGACGGTGCGGCCCGACGGTCGGCGTCGCCCTCTCGACGCGGTCCGCACTGGCACGCGGGCACGCTCTCACGCTGCCTGCACCGTGCGGACACTGCCGTTGTTCGGTAGACAGTGTCTGCTGAACAGCTGACTGCTTCTGACCTTTCTTCTTTGTTTGCGACTTCCTTCCTAATTTTGGGTTGAAATAAACCACCCTCTGGCAGCAATGCGCACATGGTAACATCCCTTCCATTTGTGCTGGTCAGATGGCTGCATTAAGCCTTCTCCGCCGTAGCAGACAACATCGCTCCCCGCCGCATCGGGCCTTCCCCGAATCACTCCTGCTCCGGCGGCAGGATACATCAGCTGACCGGCGGCTGGCGTCTGTTGACGAGCCATGGTCGACCGGCGGCCGATGGCGGTGCTCGCCAGGTCGGGTCACGTCCGATGGACGCATCGTCCCAGGCGTGCAGACTTCCAGTCACCCCGGTCCGTCCTCGCCTGATGACCCGGTCATTCGCTCGGTTCGCACCTGATGACCTAGCCAGGCTAGAAGTATCGTGCCTGATGACCTAGCTTGTCGGACGGTGCTCCAACTAGGGGTATTAAAAACAGTCGGGGAACGCCAGAGCCACCACCTGCCAACCTTTCGCATTTTTAGCTGTCAATATGCACGTGAATAAACGTCGACCATCAAAATTGTGCCTGGAGATTGAAAACATGCCAAATTCTTATGTATCACGCAAGAGATTTCCAGCGCCTGTGGCGCTCTAAAAGTGCAAATACTGAGTTGTGCGTCCTCTCCCCCTGCCCCCAAATGAAATTATGTTGCCGCCCCTTCCCCCGCCCCTGCCCAGAGGAACCAGCCATGGGTCCGGTCGGCCTAGTGCCCGGTAGCGCGCAACCACGCCGCGTGCGTCCCCCTCGACATCGGGCTGTCTCCTGTCAGAGTGTCAAGCGGTGTCACTGTGTCACGCGCACACACCGCACGGCTGTCAGGCGGCGGCACTGTGCCACGCACACACACCGCACGGCTGTCAGGTGGTGTCACGTTGTCATGCACACACACCGCACGGGTGTCAGGCGGTGCCACTGTCATGCGCGCACACCGCACGGCCGGTTTGCGGCCGGGCGGTGGCCGCCGCCACGCGCTGTGGGGGCAGAGCGGAGCGGGGCGACGGTGTGCGTGTGTAGCGGTGGAGGCGAGGGGACGGATGTTTAACTCGGCCCAGGCGGCCGGAAGTCGCCAGCGCGCCGGCGCTGGCGGCGAGCGGAAGAACAGGCGCGCCCTGTGTTAGCACCCTCCCTCCCCAACGCTTGCACCATGAGGGCGGCGTGGAGCCCACGGAGGGACGGGCTGCGAGGCTGACTCGGGTCCCGGGGTTTGGACATGTCAGGCGTATGAACTGGGACAACACGCACGCAACCCTGGCCGGCTATTTGCGCCTGCGCTGCCGGCATATTTGCTCGATCTGTTACTGATATCGACAGGGTGAAATGGGCGGTAGCCAGAAGAAGTTGCTGCGCTTTGGTGCTATATCGTTGTAGGAGAGGCCGATTCGCTCCCCCTGAACTGGCAACGGTATCGTGCTGCTTTTCTTCCCGTTTCCCCGCCCGTCTCTTTTCACTTCCGCCTCCATTCCCAGCTCGGCCGCCCACCCCAGCCGCATTGTTCTCCCTTCAGACCTCCAAATATGTGGGAGCCACTTCGCATTGGCGTGCCGGGGACCGACACACGAATGCTCCGCGCGGTGACACTGAGAGCCACGATCCGTTTTCTACTCGCGAGCCTTTCGGAGCAGGCTGTTGCAGGCACGCGAGCGCTGCCGTGTGAGCATGGTCGCCTCGCGGTCTGCACGGTCCCAGCCGTTTGTCGACGCCTGCCGCAGGATTGGTCCGCGGTCCCCTCCGAGGTCCGGTCTCCCTCAGCTCGTAAGAAAGCGCCGTGATTGGCCCCCGTCGTGCGCTCCTTGTTTTGAATGGGGGTCGATTTTGTCAGGTCCTGTCAGACCTGACGCGGCCTTGGGTTGTGTTTGCCGTGCGTGACGGGCTGCGTCATGCTGCCTAGCGTATTCTGGGTGTGCGGAGGAACTAAGGGCCTGGGCATGGACTGGATGTGAGGGGACTGAGGGCCGGATATGGACCGGATGGAGTGGCGAGCAGACCGTGTCACTCACGACGGTCTGCTGTAGCTGACAGTGCAGGCAGCCCCAGTCCGCTTTTCGACGTGCCTTTCGCGTCCTGTCTGTCCAGAATTGGGCTGGCACATATTTTAGCTGCAGGTAACCCGAGAACTTGTGCAGGCATTTTTTTACATTACGCCTGTAGAAACTTTCAGATATTTTTTTTTAACGTGTATTACGACGGGAAGGGGCTGTAACTCATCCCGTGAAGACGAACAAGGTGGAGCTGATGCCGTTTTTACTCAATACCCTAAACGACTGTTGCAGTATAGTGCACGCAAGGCCGGCGTCTGTCTGGTTTTACGTTAGGCAATGACTGCACTGAAACTCTGCTTTCTTTCTAAATAACGGAAGTTGTTCAGTGCATTAGCGAGGAGCATTATTCACATCGATAAGACGGTAGTATTGGCCTTATTTCTCAGAGAAAAACCAGGAGAATGGAGATACAGTTGGGTTGATATTTCGGCGACATGCCTCTATCGAAACAATAGCAGAAGTGAATCAAAAATTCCCTGCCGATGATCCTGCTCGGTTTTCATTTTTCTTTTTTAAAGGAAGCCACAGTTTTTTTACAGGACACCAACATTCGGGTGATTAGAGGAAGAGCGATTACCAGCCATTACCACGATACAGTGCCTACCTAAGAATTACAACGCGCGAACATACGTATACATGCAAACGAATTCAAGCAAATAGGCATCACACATCACGCTTTATTCAAACATGCAAGCGAGTTGAAGTTAACAGGCATCACACATCGTACATCATTTATACATGCAGAAATTTCAGTTGAACAGGTATGGCACATCACGCGTCAGGCGTCACTAACACATGTAAACGATTTTAAGCCAGCACATATCACACATAAAGGCACACATCACGTTCGCATAATCGGTCATGATGAGCCCTGTATGTTAAGATTTGTTCGCCGACTTTTGATAAGAATGGATTCACTCATTTTCCTGTTTGGGTAGTACTGTGCTCTGTAGGCGACTTTAAGCTCTATCATGGGCATAGGGTCCATACTTTCCTCGATTTCAGCCTGAGCGTGTTTTGCCAAAAAATGGTTTATCGGTGTTTTGTCGTGTTACGCGTATCCCACCTCATTTGTCATGAAGTGCGATTCGTCCGGAAGGTATACGTCTCACGTTCATTCGCGTATGGTGTGGCTGTAGCCGTACGCCCTGTCCCCGGAACCGGCACCCGTCGAAGGAAACGTGCGGACCTGCTCCGACTCTCTGGCTGTGAGATTTCCCTGTTACGTCAACCTGAGTGAGTGTGCCCCTGTTCCGTTTCTCAGAGTCTGAGCGTCCCCTGTTCCGTCTCCCTGAGTGAGCGTCCCCCTGTTCCGTTTCTCAGATGCTGAGCGTCCCCTGTTCCGTCTCCCTGAGTGTGTTTCCCCCTGTTCCGTCTCTCAGAGTCTGAGCGTCCCCCCTGTTCCGTCTCTCTGAGTCTGAGCGTCCCCCTGTTCCGCCTCTCTGAGTCTGAGCGTCCCCCTGTTCCGTCTCTCTGAGTCTGAGCGTCCCCCTGACCCGTCCCCTCCGTTGCAGCCGTGTACAACTGGTCCGGCTGTGTGCGCCATGGCCTGCCGCTGCGCGTGGGTGACACGGTGCACGTGCTTGAGGAGTGTGCCGGCTGGCTGCGCGGCTACGCGGTGCGCCAGCGCGGCCGGCGCGGCCTCTTCCCGGCTTCCTACATCCAGATGAAGCCATGCCTGGTCGAGTCAGACGGGTGAGTGTGGGGAAGCAGTCGGCCCATCACCGCATGCTCGTTGAACAAGGCTCGTCTCAGTGTGGGAAGGTTGGCGGTTCGAAGTGTGCTGCAGGGTGGGGTCGGTGATGGTGATTGTGATTATGATGGTGATGGTGATGGTGATGGTGATGGTGATGTGATGTGATGTGATGATGTGCCAACAGCGCCGAAATGCGTGCATAACGTCGCAAACGTTATTGCCAGCATCATTATAATACGATTGCACTACATGTGTAACCAACAAGGTAGCTCGGTATAGAGTGTCTGGTCAATATCATGTAAACCGATCTGGTCCAGCCAGTGTCTTCCGGAGTGCCTGTCACACCCGTGCTCCTGCGGCTCCTGGGCCGCAGAGCGGTGTCGAGCTTTGGTCCGCGCGACAGCGTCAAGCTGCCGCGGGTGAGGTGCTGCTGCTTCTGAGGGCGATCAGGGAGCGGGTCGTCGCGGGTAGCACTGTCTGGTGGTCGCCGACAGCGCTCGAAGTAATACCGACTCTGGGTTCAAGTCGACTTGCCCAAGTCCACGGACACGGCCTGGACCCAGCGTAACGGGCAGCATCGCCCCTGGAATAGCCCCGGTTAGTAGAGAGCCGTCCTTCCTGGGATGCCCCGGGTTAGTAGAGGGCTTTCCTCCCCGGGATATCCCGCCCGGTGGAGGGCCATCCTGCCCGGGATGTCCCGGCCGGTGGAGGGCTGCCATCTCCGACCGGGCGCGGCTCGCAGTGCCTTGCCGCCCCGGGCGGGACGCGCCGGTAAGCGCCGGCACGGGTCGACCCATCTGTCGGCGGGCCTCCGACATCTGGCGCAGCAGCCCGGCACAGCCTCCGCGGACCCGGGGAGCGGCACCTCACCCGACCTGCGTCCGCTCAGCGGCGGGTACGGCAGGCGGTACAGGGTAACACCGCGCCGTGCGCTTCCCCACGCTCGGCTCGGTGCTCTGCGCTCAGAAGACGCCACCAGGGGCAGCGCAGTGAAGGGCCGATGACGCACGGTCGGTCAGCTCGCGCTGACAGTGGGATGGTCGTCAGACGCAGTGGGCCTCAAGTCGGGATCCGCCTCTACCCGGTCTGAGGAACGTCCCGTCCCGCCCAGTGACGCGTCGCGCCGTTCTCTTCGGCTCTTCAGACGCACAGATGCGGCGCGCGTTCTCAGCTCGCCGGCCGAGGCGCGGCCGGCGGTCTGCGGCGCGCCGGCCGCGCCCGCACTCCGCCCCGCTCCTCCCGCGCCGCCGCCGCCGCGCGCCGCAAACGGGAACGGCGCGCGCGCGCGTCCGGCGCCGCGCCGCCTCACTTCACGAGTGGTTACGCGGGCTAACGGCGCCGGCGACGCATGACCACACGCCGTCCGAACTGAACAGCCGTGAGCCGGCCCCGCCCGGCGGCGCTCACGCCTGGCGTGACGTCACCGGAGCCTGGCCGCCGCTGACCCGGCCGCCGACCCGACGGCGGGACAGCCAGCCGTCGCCGACGACGAGCCCGTGGCGTCGCGGTGGTCGGAATTGTCGTCTCCATTGCGCTGTGACGCCGCTAATGGCGGAGGCCGGTCTCCGCGCGGCCGGTTCCGATGGCATGTCAGCCGCGGTAAGCGCGGTTGCGCTCTTGGTTTCCTGGCGCTTTTCGGTCTTTTTCCCTTTGGGGCGGGCTGTTGATTTATCGATTTCAAGCAATACATCCTCGCGCCGTTGGCGATATATCCGCAGCCAACGACGCTGATCTCAGTTCTGGTCGTTCGTCGGCTTGTTGTTGCCTCGTTTCGGGAAAGTGGCTGGTATATTTCGACAACCGTTATCACGAGGAGAAAAGGCCGCTCGGCCCCGGGAAATCGCTCGGAAATATGGAGCAAGCTATCACGTTTTTCTTTGTTTCTAATTGGCCGCTTCCTGGCGTTGTCACGACAAAGGCGCTCGCATTTTATTGACCCCGATGCAGTTTTTCTTTCCACCTTCGCGACGCTCTTACGCGAGAGTGAATAGAACGGTTAGCACCTTGGTGCAAGACGCTAGAAGTTGTGGGCCCGCTTGCAAAGCGACAGTTTCGCCCACAATCTTTGTCGTCGCTGTTTCACTTTCTGCAGGTGCCAAGACTCCAGCTTGTTCGCTGTGGGGGCACGATATAGCATCGCGTATGGCCGTATGTCGACTGAATGCGCTCAGATGTGGTGTCATGCACGCACCGAACCCAAACGGCTGAGGGATGAGCTGCCTTGTGATGACACCGCCCACACCTTGCACCAGTGGCATTGCTATGGGAATGCCATGTCGCTGCTGGCCGGCATGGACTCAATGGCCGGCAACCTGCGCTGCACAGCGTTGCACAGCAGCAGCGTTTCACAGCAGTCCGAACGCCCGGCCCGAAGAGCGGCGGCTCCGGCTGCATGCCAGCCCAGCCGCGAGCCCTGACGCGGTCCCGTGTCAGTGCTGCGCAGTGCAGTGCTAGCTCGATCCCCGTGTCAGCGCCGCCCGGGGCCTTGGCACGGGTCCCACGTCAGTCCAGCCCTGACCCGTGACCCGGACGGCACGTGAGTACCGGGCGGGGCGATCACGGGCCTCGGCCCGGACAATGCGTCGTAACCGGCGCGCCGGCGCGGCCCGTGTGGCCGGCGGCCCGCCGCGCAGCGCTCAGCCCGGCCTCCTCGCCGCCGCCGTCGCCGTCGCCGGTCTCGCCGGCCGCAAAGGAAGCGCGGATGACGCGAAGGAGATTTCATTAGCGCTGGGCGGCACTGCCGGGCCGGAAGCCGGTGCACGGCTTCCGGCCGACCCTGGCGCGCCCGGTGGAAAGCGGTGCTGCGTGCGGCTGAGCGCGGTGGCGGTGACGGCGGCGGGGACGGGGCGCGGCTGGCGGTGCAGCGCGGGGCAGTCCAGCCACCGCCGCTGCCGCCCGCTTTCTTCGCCGCCACTTTCGGCGGTGTTCTGTAGGCCCGAGGTGCCGGTAGACTTCGGGCTCGAGACGTGAGCCGGGCTGCCGCTCGGAGCAGACGCCTCTGACCGGTGGGGCTGGCCTCCGCAGGGTGCGCACGTGCCGGCAGCGTGCTCCGTGACAGCCGCGCCCCGGGTGCGTCGCGCGCCCCCGCCCTGCTGTCGCACGTTGGCGCTGATGAAGTCGGCCTTGGGCGGCGTTTGCGGCCTGGCGCCGACGAGACGCCGCTGGCAGACGCCTCGTAGCGGAACGCCGCCGGCCCGACGGAGGCGGCTGAGCTGCGACCCGGCACAAAGCCTGCGCTCTGCAGCGTTCCGAACGGTCTGCTCTGGTACCGCCTGTCCTCTGGGACGCCTCTGCTTTTCCACATGCCCCGCCATTACGCGCTCCCCTCCGTCTGACCCCCTCCCCCACCCCTTCATCTAGTCTGGGCCGGCCCCTCGCCTGACCCGTCCCCCGCATCCGTGCTCCCTTCTCGCTTCTGCCCCGCCGCTGTCCCTACGCCCCCGTCCGAGCCCTGTTGCCCGGCGGATGAGCGGGACAGCCGCGTGGCCGCTGCAGCCCACACCCCTGCTCGGGGCTCGGGGCTGGGGCCTGGCCGGTGCGGGTCGACACCAGACGGACGGGTGACCCAGGCTGCCCTCTGATCCACTGGCCGGGCTGCCGAAGCAGAACCGGCACCGTGACCCGAAGACGAGCGGGGCCGCGTCCACCGCGCCACGCTGCTCTGTAAGGGAGCTGTGCTCTGGATGGTGGGCTGCGAGCGTGGTTCGACGCGTCGCCCAGCTCAGCCAGAGGGCGAATTGTTGGGCTCTCCTCAGCAGATTGATCTTGCGACGTGGTAAGAAGTGTGTGTCTTCTTTGTAGCGGGACAGTGCGTGAGTTGTTGTGTGCCGTCCCTCTCACAGCTGAAATTGGCTTTTACGTCATATTTCTATGTCTGGATTAGATCTGCCGCGTTCCGATTTTCACGACCATTCGTTGGCCGCCGAACTGAAAGCCGAGCTACAGTTTCGAACTTCCTTTCAACCCTGTAATTAAGAAGTGACGTATCAGCAGGTGTCGATGATTAAGTGCAGCTGAACGTCCCAGGTGTCACGGACAGGGCCGGGCTGCGCTCCATTATGTGGGAACTGTGCGCATCTGTTGCTGGATGCCGTGTCCGGCCGCCTGATCGAAGAGCACTGGACGCGGTGGGGGCTGATGTGATATCCGGACGTGTTGAATGAATGAATGAACAAAATGAATTAAGTTGAATGAATTTGTAAAGCAAACTGGCCAGTTTCTTCTGACACCGTTTCGGAGAAACTCCACATCGGTGCGGTTAGGCGGCTACGGTGCAGTTCGGAGAATATTAGCGGGATCTGGACATATTTTTCTATGAAGTAGGGGATTCGTGGTTTGCCACCAGTAGGCGCCAGGTAGATTCCATCTGTCACTGCATTTTGTTTTGGCTGTGATGCATTGTAGCCTTTTGGCTTACCTTGAAAGTGTCTCCGCACGGTTGACTCCGCATGGTGTGCAGGACCGCTTCACCGCTTCGTGACGTCACTACGATGCAGTGTTTGTGCCCTGCCTTGCACGGCCTTGGTTTCGACACTGTCACGTATATCACGTGCCTGATTTCATTTTGATGGCGGCCTCGTGCGCCGCAGGATGGCGCGCGCGGCGCAGGGTCGGCCGCGGCCGTCTCCAGCGGCGTCACCGGGCGGCGCCGGCCGTGCGCCGTCACCGCGCCCCCGACCTCATGGAGGCAGTCCCGACCATTGGGCCTAATTGAGCGCGATGACTCTGCCACGTCACCCGCACCAGCGGCGCGCGCTGGCGCCGGCCGGGCCGCCTGCGTTGAGGACGAGCGGCGCGGGTGGGACGCCTGCCAGCCCTGACCGCACAGCACCGCGGGCGAGACGCTGCTGCCCAGAGGGGGTGGCGAGGGTGGTATGTGGAGGACGTGTAGGAGGCGCGGTGCGATCAGATCGGCAGGCTGAGACGCCGTCTTCCCTCTGGCGCCGTTATCGTCCATCTTGTCCGTCTCCCCATGCTTCCTCGCCCTCTCCCTCCCTTCATTCCGTCTCTCGTGCCTCCGCCCCTCTGCTCTGCACTCTGCCAGCAGGCCGGGCCAGGCTGGCAGGTGGCGGCACGCAGGACGTGGTCCGGTCGGCTCGGCGGTCCTCGCGCCAGCTCCTCCGTGCCGGGTCAGGCTGGCAGGCGGCGGCACGCAGGACGTGGTCCGGTCGGCTCGGCGGTCCTCGCGCCAGCTCCTCCGTGCCCGTCGCGAGGACGCTCCCGGTGAAACCGGCGCCGGCGCGGGCTCTGTTTTTACTCGTGCGCGGCTGTCGGGGCGGCCGGCCAGCCGGATTGGAGTGGCTTTCTCGTGTGATGGCCGGCGGACGGCCGACGCACGTGGACCGAGTTTCCCTGAGCTGCTGCCGCACGCAACCGGATGGATGAGAAGGAGGGGAGATGGCATTGGTACGCTCTGGACGACGTGCCGCGCTCCCGAGGAGATGGGCTATAGATAGCTCGCGATTCGACAGCGGCGGTGGGTCTCATGTGCGCTGAAGATTCGCATGGCTGAAGCCCGCTGTTTCTGGTCCCCATGGCGGCTCTTCGCATGACTGAAGTCTGCTTGTTCCTGGTCCCGACCGCGGCGCGCCTGGACCTCGTCCTGTTTCAGTCATGCGAGACCGGCCGTGTTGGGCTGCCGCCTGTGGGTTAGCTGTTGAGCGGGTCTTGCGAGCGCCCAGGCTCCACTGACCCGAAGAGGAGATCAGTGGTTGCTCGGGGCTGAAAGAAATCGACGAAATTGCCGCTTCATTGTTCCGCCTTTCAGCTTTGGTGTAGTCGCCTACGACTGATTGCATGGGACGACTTTATCTATGCTATCCGTGCTGCGAGGTCCAAAGTGTTTCCATCGGTTGTTTGTCGACGCCTTTTCACCCACGAACTCCTGTGAGCCGCCGAGTCAGCCACGAAAAAGAAACCGCCTCTGATGACGAATTATCCCGAACAGCGGTAGTCAGTTGGGTGACCATCCTGCGGCGGCGGCGCTGGGTAATGGCGGCCTAATGGCCGTGTTTAGGATTTCTTCCGTCATCTCGAGACCCGCCATGTGTCTGCTCGGCCGCTGCCTGATGACCATCCGCCGCGGTGGTCCGCCGCCGGCTCCGAGCGGTCGCGGCCGGCCGGGCGCCCGTCCCGGCGGTCCATGCACTGCGCCAGCCTAACGAGCAGCTTCCTGCTGCGACCCGTCGGCGCGTTGTCGCTCTCGCGCCGTGCGCCGGTGCCGGCCGCGGAGGGGACGGCCCGTGCCGGCCTGCCCACGGCCGGGAGCGCCTCCACCCGGGCCGGTCCGGGTGTCGCGCGATGTCAGGCCCGCGCACACGGCCCCGTGCCGGCCGCCGCGGGCCCGTAATGAGCCCGGTGGCACTGTGATGAGCGGCGGCGGCCGGGTCTGGCTGAGAGCCGGTGGGCCGTCTGGGGTCCGGGGAGGGGAGGGGGAGGAGGGCGAGCGCCGTGCCGGCGGCCACGTCCCCAGCCTCCGGCATGGCGCCGTAGTCGGTGTATTAGCGGCGGGCCAGGCCGGACCGGTTATTGAGATGTCGGGACAGGGGCGATCGAACGGGACGGTGGCGCCGGCGGGGTGGGAGGCGTCACGGGGTGCGCGGTGTTGTATCGTGGACTGGCTCTGTGTGAAGAGTTATTTCTGCAGGATGCACTTATGTGTATCGGGCTAGGCCGTCACCGAAAAGAATGGAACTTGTCAAGCCTTTCGGCATGCTGCGGACTTCAGTGGTCAGTCTTCTCGCGTACACGGTGACCCGAACCTCGGGGCGACACCGCTCTCCCGCCGCCTCTCTAAACGACCTGGCGCGGCAGCCAGCCGTCTCCCACCCGCGGGCTGTCGGCGTCGGCAGGTCCTGCCGTCACTCTCGGTTTTCACCGCGATCACGGCCGGTGCCGCTGGCCGCCGCCGCCCCTGATCCGGCCGGGGTGAGGCGCTCCCTCGGGCCCGCGTCTCGCCGGCCGCTTTCACTCTCGTGCCGGCCGCGCGCGCCGGCATGTGCCCGGCGCCGGCCGCGATAGGTCGCCGGCCGCCAGGTCAGACGATGGAAAGTGAGCGCGAAACCGGTCCAGCGCTGCACTGTTGCTGTGCGGCGTGGCGGTGAGCTGCTGTTGGACCGCTGAGCTGTGCAGCAGAGCCGAGGTATCTGTGCTCCGAGGACTAGACGGCTGAAGACTTTGTGTTCGGCACAGGTGGCGTTGAAGGCTCTCTTTTTTTGGAGGGGGACAGTTTGTCCAGCTGCATCTCACTGGGCTCCGAGAAAGAGCTTGCTTTGATGTTGCTTGCCGATCGACGCTGGCAGCGCGATTTTCTGGGGATGTCTGGACTTCGGCACCTTGGCCCACGTACCGTGGACCGTTCGTCACGCTACCGAGACCGGCCGATGGGCCGCGCTCCCAGGACGGGCGGGGCTCGGAGCCGCCGCGTCACCAGCGCCGGCGAACGCCTTGTGTCGGCGCCAGCGGCGGCGGTTCGCGGAGGCCGCCGCTGGAGCCTGTCGCCGTGAGTCAGCTGGCGGCGTCGGCGGCCGGGCCGCGTCGGACCCGACGCTCCCTGCTCGGCGGGGGACGCGCCGGCCAAAATAGAGCGGCTGACAACGGTGCGCCTGGCAGCGCCTCGGGACCGCACCCCCCGGCAGGGACGCCCCCTGGCCGCGGTGTGACCGCTCGTGGGCCAGGTGCTGATGGTGTTTTCTGAGATACGTGGATACGCGCTGGTGGCCGCCGGCCTACGCCCTCCTTAATGGACATGTGGGATTCACGGACTGATGAAGGAATTGTGTGGCCATGCAGGGCTCCTTCGTCATACACCATCGCTCTCTAGGTGGTTTCGTGACCCCAGATGGTTCTGCTACCGCCTCGGTGGTGACCTGGTCACCTAATCAGGATTTGCAGATCCATCTCGGGCGCGCGTGGTCGTACGACACCGCGTCACTCCGCTGTGACTCCTCCCTCCCCCCCCCCCTTCTGGCACGTGACGTCTCGTCGCCGGGCGTTCTGAAGCCTGGCGCCGGCCACGTGTCGCCTGCTCCTCAGACATCGCTGAGTCTCGGCGCCTTGTCAGAGGCGACCGACGCGCGCTCGAGCCCTTGGCGCGTGCCTGCCGAGTCGGTGTCGCGTCGCTGTTGCCACGCCGGCTGCGACTCGGCTGAGCTGGCGGTCGGTCTGTGCCGCACGTCGTCACTACCAGTCACGTGCCCACTGGCGGGCGCCAAACGAGAGGTTTTCCCAGAGCGCGGGCGAGTCCCGACGCGCGTGTGTGTGTGTGTGTGTGTGTGTGTGTGTGTGTGTGTGTGTGTGTGTGTGTGTGTGTGTGTGTGTGTGTGTGTGTGTGTGTGTGTGTGTGTGTGTGTGTGTGTGTGTGTGTGTGTGTGTGTGTGTGTGTGTGTGTGTGTGTGTGTGTGTGTGTGTGTGTGTGTGTGTGGTGTGTGTGTGTGTGTGTGTGTGTGTGTGTGTGTGTGTGTGTGTGTGTGTGTGTGTGTGTGTGTGTGTGTGTGTGTGTGTGTGTGTGTGTGTGTGTGTGTGTGTGTATGTGCCGAATTTGGCGGGTGTCCCGCGCGTGACGGGAACCGCCGGCGGCGCCCCTGGTGATACGGCTGGCCGCCCGCCATGGCAAGGGTGTCCGTGCGCGGTCACAGCATGGCCAGAGAACGCCGCCTGCGCGGCTACAGCAGGGTCCGGGCGCGAGCACAGCATGGCCAGAGAACGTTGTCTGCGCGGATACAGCAGGGTCCGGACGCGAGCACAGCATGGCCAGAGAACGTCGTCTGCGCGGATACAGCAGGGTCCGAGCGCGAGCACGGCGCGGCCAAAGAACGTGGTCGGCGCGGCCAGAAGACGGCGCCGGCTCGGCCACCACGGCCCTGGCCCGGCCTGAGCGCGGCGGCTGCCACGCCGGCGTAGCTGGCCGGCGATGGCGCCGAGCGCCGCCGGCACGCGTCCGTCATCCTACGAGAGCTCGTGGAAACGGCGAGCAGCGCGCCGCGTGCCTGAGGAGGCGCCACCCGCGGCCGGCTAACGACGCAGCCTCTCGGAAATCGGCGGCGCCGCGCTCGAGTCGTGACCGGGCAGTTTCCCGTCCGGCGGTTTGCCGGCGGTTCTGCGCCGTCATTCGGTCGGGTTCAGCGCACCCGTCGTCCATGCCATACTGGGCCTTTGAGCCTCGCAGCCCCGATGCATTGGCCGCCAATGTCCTGTCGGCGTAAGTGCACGCGATTCATGGACTTGGCGTTTTGCCCCGTTCTTTCCGCGTCCTCGGCGTTCGAAGATTCGTCAAAGCTTTGCATTTTGTTTTTATCGTGCAGGGCCGGAACCATCCGATCAGCACCAATTGGCGTATATCTCTCGAAAAACTGTGGCGGTCAACAATGCACGGATGCCATGGCACACCTGCTTGATTCATGGTTAGGTGCGGCCTGCCGAGCCTGGGATTATGCGGCCGCCACCTGGGCATGGTTTGCCTGTCGCTGTAGCCGGCCAGAGTTTTCCTCACGCCTCGCCGGCCGAGCTGGTGTCCATTCGAGAGCCGAACAGGCTCTCGTTTGCGCTGCGACCGCGCCAAATGCTGTCTGACCGGCGCGCTGTGTCGTTTCAGGCCCCAGGAGGTGATCACGCCCATCGAAGACAGCGTGGTCACGGAGGTGACCCAGGTGCTCAGGGAGTGGAGCGAGCGATGGAAGCAGCTGTACATCGTGAGTACCGAGCGCTGTCGGCCCGCGGCGCCGCCGCTGTCAGCAGCCTGCGGCGTGCGGCGTACGGCCGTGCCTCCGGCCGCCGCCCGGCCCGCCGCCTGCTCGATCGGTTCACACGCTCTCCAGTGCGATAGAGCACGTGAGAATTGAGACAATGGCCGGCCGGACACACGGCCGACCGACTGCCGCTGCCGCCTCTGCTGCTGCCGCTGCCGCTGCTGCGTGAGGACGCAGACGGCACGGCCTCAGAAGACGAGGCGGCGAATCGGAGCAGCGCCCTGTTGCGCAGTTGAGCTCGCTCGCATGCGGCACGCGCCAAGTCGGCCGATCCGGGGCCGGATGTCGTGGCAATTCAGCACTAATGGCGGGCTGTATCGCCCGTCGCCGGAAGCTCTGTCTCGCCTGCACCCCTTGCAACACGATCAACAGCGCCTCGCGGCTGCATCGAAACTCAGCGTTGCGCGGTACTGGCGCGTGCCACTGAAGCCGCGGGGACAGCACCTGCTCGGGAGCGCATTCAGCACATCCTCGGCTGATGTGGCTGTGGACCCCACCCATGTGGAGAGGCGCCCATGCGAACCGTAGCAGAAATCCGGCGGCTCTGGTTGTGGCCGAACCCTTCCGGTGTGACCGGAAGCATATTTCAATGTCGCTGCCTGAAAGTGGGTTCTTTTCCCGGATGGATGCGATGACCCTCTTTTGAAATATAAATGTACTTGAATGCTCCGCAGAGGGCCAGAACGTCGCGATTGTCGATAGCGCGGTTGGATGGTGACGCGGAGAATCGCGGTCTGTGTCTGGTTTGTGCAGGGATAGAGCGTTCTATTCATCTGAAGGTGCTCTAGCAGCCAACCCGCAACTTTGAGAGGAAAGTGAGCTAGATCCGGGTGAAACACGTCTTTATGTATTTTGGGTTAGGTCTCGCCATTTTTTCCTGCCCGGCCCCCCCCCCCCCCCATTGTTATATGAACCCTTACCGCTATGTTTATTTTTATGCTGTTATTATTGTTCGGGTAGAGTAACTCAAGTGCATATGAGCGTATCAAAATGTCATTAAGTCGTTCTTCTATCGAGCTGTAGAGTGAAAGGGAGTCTCTTCAACAAGTGGGACAGTCATATGTGGGACAACATTATGATGATACGTGCTATTGTCTTTGGGCTTTCACGCTGAGCACCAGTGCTTTTAACGGTTAGCATTATGTGATCTCTCGATTAAATGTTATCAGTAGGATCTTTGGGACATAAGTAGGTGAAGTGGGTCGTTACCACCACGCTTGCTCAAATGATTTTGCCGTTCCCTAAGCGTTCGGCGACCCCACCAATCAAACTGTCACCTACGCCCGCCAATTACTGTACATTCAGGTCTCGTCCATTCTGTAGTGCGTTCGTGCGAAACAGTAAGCAGCGGTGGGCGGCCGGTGGACGCCCCCGAGCGCACGCACCCCGTCAATCGATCCCCCCCCCCCCCCCCGCAGTGTGGCGGGCTCGGGCGGCTCATGCCGACGGCGTCCGCATGGCCGCATGATAGATGGGCCGCATGTCCGCGGCCAGCGGTGTGAGAGGCGCCGCCCTCTTGCCCTTGCTTGGTAGACAGCAGTGAAGCCCACCCACCCTCGCGCCCCCGCCTTGGGACAGCAGTGTAGCCCGCCCACCCTCGCACCCCCGCCTGGGGACAGCAGTGCAGCCCGCCCGCCCTGGCGCCCCCGCCTGGGGACAGCAGTGTAGCCCGCCCGCCCTGGCGCCCCCGCCCGGTGGACAACAGTGTCGGAGTCGGCTTGCAATTGGCCTGCGGTCGTCGGCGGGGAGTGGGGGCATGGCTTTCGCCGCCCCCGGTTGTGTGTCGGCCCCTTTCGCTGCCTGCTCACAGGTGTGTCAGCCTGTAGTTATGCCGCACCCTCCGGTTTGCTGCTGATGGCGACAGCGAACTAGAGGCACGAACACGCGGGGCTCTGCATGAAGACAATGCTGGAACGGAAGGGAGCAGAGACGACAGCCCATGAAAGGTCTTTGCCGGCTGCATGTTACTCTCCCCGGTATTTCAGTGGCAGGGAGTATCATCCTAAATTTGACGTGCCCTGCCGCGATGTATCGTATGGCGCTATAGACCACTGTGCTCTCACTGGTGCCGGCGCCTTGGTCACAGCCCACCGAATCGGCTTCGTCCCGAGCATCTGCGCGCGGTGGTCGTCCGGCCGCCGCCGCGCTCCGTGCGATGCGTCCGCTCTTCGCTCACGGACAGGACGTGTCGGGGCCGATCTATCAGGCCGGGTAATCAGAGCCCGGCGGCACCTGTCCGCCGCCGGCGATGGACCGGCGGCCGGACCTCCCGGCCGTCCGCCCCGGCCTCGGCGAGGACTTTCTTACGCGCCTGTCGGAGCGTGCGTCGGTCACCTGTGGGATGAGCCCCGTCACCTGCGCCGCGCGCCCCCGTATGCCGGCCGGTGAGGGCTGGGCGTGACCCCTGCTCTCCCTCCTCACTTCCCGTCGCTCTGTGCCGGTCAGCCCGGCTGTGCTCTGTCACCGCGGCCCTCTCTGCGGCGTCGGTCGGCGGGGGCCGGACCTGCTCGCCACCGACCACCCGGGACCGTCTCGCCTCCCCCCGCGGCGGCCGGCCGTGCGAGCACACCGCCTCACGGCGGCCCCTCTGTGCCAGTCTGGTCAGCGGGCACCGGCGAATCATGCCGCCATCGATCGGCGGGGAGCGGTGACGGCCGCCGCCGGCGCCGCGCTGTCTGCCCCGCGTGTCCCCGCCGTCTGCCCCGAGCCCCCGCCGCCGCCGGATTATCCGCCCGGCGCCGCCACTGCTGACAGATCTGGGGCGGGGCAGACGCGCCGCGGACGGAGGGCGGGCGCAGAGCGGCGGACGGGCTAAATACCGCGTACGGAGGGAACACACGTACGAAAGGCGCAGGACAGACGAGCGAAAGACGCGGCCTGTGACCGGCGTGTTGAACACAGGCCACTTAAATACACCTGAGAAAGAGAAGGGCTGGAAGCAGCGTGGTGATGGCCATGATTTGAGCCTTGTGCCGTCCACGCGAGGTTCAGGTTCGCCCATCCGTGACGAGTATTGTGCTGCGGTCTGGCGACGATCGTAAAACAAACTGTCACGCCGCGGGGTGGCATGTAATCACCGGCACCGCGTATGTAGGCTTCTCAGTCACCATCCGCGGATGATTACATGGCTCCGTCAGACAGGTCCTGACCTCAGTATTCAGACAGGTGGCAGCGGTCTGACTCACTGTCCCAGACAGCCGAGCCCGACCTGGCTCGATGCGCCGAAGGGTGCCGACGGCTCCCCTGTCGCCCGTCTCGCCGTAACGATCGGCCGCCGAGCCGCTGGCTGGCGGCCCGGCGGACCCGCTGCCGGCCTTTGTCACTCTCCGCCGGTGTAGCAGCGGCGAGCGGGACCGCAGGCCAGCCAGCGGGGAAGTGTTGACCGAGCTGCACCAAGGTCGCCGGCGCCGAAACGCCCAAGCCTCTGATGGGAGTGGTCGCTCGTCCGGAGCGCTGGCGGCGCCGGCGCCGCGGGGCCTCCCAAAATGACATTTCACTCGCCGTAAATCTCCGTTTGGTCGCCCCGCTGCGTGGGAGCGTTGTATTGTTGCCGACGTGGCGTCTGTGGGAAACCGCCTGGCGGACGTCCGCCGTGCCGCCGCCCGCCCCGTTCTGCCCGGCTGGGCTCGTCGCCAGGGGCTGTTGTCTCGGTGGCTTGCGGCTCTGAGACGGCCGCTATCTACCCGTATCTGATACCGGGTTGCAGTGTTTTTGTGGGCGCTGGTGGACTGAGCCGGCTGGCGTCCTTATCTGAGGTCGGCTTTAAAAACCAGTTTTGGATGGCTGTGTTTGTTTGAAGTGTCTCGTTCCTCGTAGACGCGTAAATACCCTCCCAGAGACCAACCATCGCGGTGCTGACTGATAATTTCTTATTTTTGAATGACGAAGTGACATACAAGGCTCAGCCGTGAACTGGTGCACTGACACAGTGACGGCTAGTCACTGATGGTTTTGTCACCGGTACGAACAGCGAGGCGGGTTATCAGCTTTGTGAAGTTTCGCGCTCCTACCTTCACAGCCGCCCCGACTGACCTTGGGATGCGGCGCTTTTGCAGGCGTTCCGGTGCCCCTCACAAGCCTTGGTATTTCCCAGAGCCGCACCGCGCCTTGCTGTAAACGTGGAGCGTGCGTCACTCCACGCTCGCCACACAAGCCATAATCCGCTGCGTTATGCGTTGGCCCGGCGTCTGCCAGGGGGGAGGGGGAGGGGGTTCGCCATGCCAAGTGTGACCGCGCCGTGTGCAGCGCTGACCCTCGTGTGTTCGCCTCTCTGACAGGGCCGGGAGGCGCACGAGGTCGCCACGCTCTGGAAGGTGATGCACGAGCTGCTGGACTGGCGACGCCAGCTGGTGACGGGCACGCTGACCCAGGACCAGACCCGCGAGCTGCGGATCAAGGTCACCGCCAAGATCGACTGGGGAAACAGGTCAGTGCGCCGGTCGTCGTCGCCTCGCGGGCGGCTCTGCGGACCCCGGCGCGAGCTGGCGTCTCGGACGTGACTCGCAAAGCTCCGCCCGGCGGATTTCCAGCGCAGCCAACTGGCTAGGAGCACGCCTCGTTCGCGGTCGGCTCGGTCTGCCGGCCGACTTTCCAGCTACCGCCGTCGGCTCGGCTGTGGGCGAGGTTTGTGAAGACGTTTGCCAACATCAGCTGTCGGCTTCCTCGGTGGCCACTGGTTAGGTTTGGCCCGCCGCCCTGGCGGTGGTGTCCGGGCACCCCCGCGCGTGCACCGGAGCTGGAGCCCGGGTCGCAGTCGGTCCGGCCGGCGCTGACCGGGGCCGGCACCGGTGTCAGGCTGACGCCGGTGCCCGCAGCCTGGCCCACCGGTGTCAGGTTGTGGCTGGGGTCGGACGGGCGGCCTACTGACGTGGCCCGCATGCTGGGCCGGGCCGGATCGAGCGCGGTCTCCGTGCGGTCGCCGCGGTCTCGGCGGTGACGGTCTGCGGTCAGCCACCGGCCGTCCCCGCCGACACCGACGCATGTGCGCCCTGGTCACGCTAGTGCTTACGAGCAGAGAGGAGGAGAGAAGGAGGCGAGGTCGCCACTGCATGTGTGCGCTGTCGCTGCTAGAGCTCGTGAGCAGAGAGGGACGGCAACACGCCAGCGCGCACGCGCGGTCGCCGCCGCACGCGCGCTGTGGCGCTGCTCACGCCCCCCGGGATGGACGATGCGGCCGGCTCGGGTGTGGTGCGCGGATACGCCCCCATCACCCGACCCCGCCGCAGCGCGCGGAGCCGCTCCCAGCCGCGTTATCGCCGCCCCACCGATGCCAGCGACGGGTGAGGTCAGCGCGCCGCCGGCTCCTCGGCGCGCTTCCGCTCCGCCGGGGCTTATCTCGGCGCCGGCGCCGGTGCGACCCGCAGCCGTGACCCGCGGCGCGCGGCGGCCGCCGGCAGCCCGACCTCCTTAGCCGGTCTGACCCGGCCGACCCTGGCGTCCGGCGGCGCGCCGGCGGGTCGGCCGGGGCAGCCCGGCGGGCGGAGCTACCGGCGTCCGGGCAGCGCCGCCCCGCCCGCTCGCCGCGAGGTGAGCGATGTGGCAGCGCAGGCCGCGCCATCTGGCGCGTGAGACGCCGGTGATGGCCCGGCTAGGTGGGCGGTCAAGGCCGCGGCGTCGCTGCAGCGGGAGCCGAGATCGCGCCGAACGGGGCTGGCTATTGTGGCGCGGCGCCGGCGGCGGCGCGGAGGGAGCTGGCCGGGAGCGGGCGTGCGGGGTCGGCGTCGGCGGCGTGTGGTGGTCGCCGACCGGCCGCTTCGGGTGTGATGGATGAGCATAGCTCGGCCGTGAAGCGAGATTGGCGCCGGTTGATCGCGACGTCTGTCTCGCTCGTGGCAGTGACGCCCGGCCTCCGGACGCGGTACATCCATCAGCCGGATCGGACCGTGATGGAACGCGGCCAGTCGAGATTCACACTCGGGGACGATCACCGCTCGGGGAGCTCGCCGGGTTGCCCCCCCCCCCCACGCTGTTCTATGACCTGGCGCCCAGCCGTTCTCTCGCGACGCCCGCGACCGAGGGGTGGCGGCGCTCAGCGGCCAGCTTGTCCATGCTGCTCCAGCACGGTCGCAGGTGGGACGGAAATGAACTTTTCCTTGCTTTTGGCTGACGCTGGGTCTGGCTTCCCTCGAATGTCCAGAAGTAATTGACGAGGGCTGGCAGGCGTCTGCCGCCGCCGCCGCCACCATCACCAGCATCCGTGTTTTGTGGTGAGAAGGCGGCGGCGGCGGCCTGGCCTCGGCCTCGGCAACGATCGTGCGTGATGTGAGCGAGGCAGCGCGCGGCCTCGCCGCCTGTGGTGGACTGCCGCCCGGCAGCCGGCTCAGGACAGACAGCTCACCAGCAGGACACACACACGGGACACCTGACCAGCCGGCTCTGGGCAGATAGCTCACCAGCAGGACACACACACGGGACACCTGACCAACCGGCTCTGGGCAGATAGCTCACCAGCAGGACACACACACGGGACACCTGACCAGCCGGCTCTGGGCAGATAGCTCACCAGCAGGACACACACACGGGACACCTGACCAGCCGGCTCTGGGCAGATAGCTCACCAGCAGGACACACACACGGGACACCTGACCAGCCGGCTCCGGGCAGACAGCTCACCAGCAGGACACACACACAGGACACCTGACCAGCCGGCTCTGGGCAGACAGCTCACCAGCAGGACACACACGGGACACCTGACCAGCCGGCTTTGGCAGACAGCTCACCAGCAGGGCACACACACAGGACACCTGACCAGCCGGCTCTGGGCAGACAGCTCACCAGCAGGACACACACACAGGACACCTGACCAGCCGACTCTGGGCAGACAGCTCACCAGCAGGACACACACGGGACACCTGACCAGCCGGCTTTGGCAGACAGCTCACCAGCAGGGCACACACACAGGACACCTGACCAGCCGGCTCTGGGCAGACAGCTCACCAGCAGGACACACACACAGGACACCTGACCAGCCGACTCTGGGCAGACAGCTCACCAGCAGGACACACACACAGGACACCTGACCAGCTGGCGTCGGGCCGGTCACGCCCCTCTCCCGCCGCCCGCTCTGTGCCGCCGCACAACTATCACCGTTGCCGTCGGATTCAGGAGCACCTGTCACGCCCGCTCTGTGCCGCCGCACAACTGCCGTCGGCTTCAGGAGCACCTGCCACGTCCGCTCTGTGTACCCTTGTCTGTCACTGTTCGAGCGATCCGCTTGCAAATCACAGGTGGCTTTGATAAGCTTTCATCGTGTAACTGACTGACACTGATAGGCCGCTGCACTACTACTGACACCGCTAGGCCGCTGCACCACTACTGACACCGCTAGGCCGCTGCACCACTAGTCTGTTAAGGAATTAGCAGGAGCTGACATGTCAACGAACAAAATCCGGCTGACGCGTCGCCGAGCGCCGGCGCTCTCAGCGGCCGGCCGGACGGTCGAACCCGACTCTGTGACCCGTCCTGACCCCCCCCCCCCCCCCCCCACCATCACCAGCCGACCAGACGGTCTCGGTGTCGACAGACAGCAGTATTGTCCAGGACCAGATAGCACGCGCGCCAGCATTGTTGTAGAACTCATCAGATGACCACGCGGCATTGCTTTGTTCACCGGTCGACAGTGCATCTGCCCGGGACAGGTTGGTCGTTGAATTGCTCTACCTCTGTTGCTCAATGTGCAATGCGTCACGTGATGTGCTGATTGTGATTTGCGTTGGTCATTCGCGTACATTCGTGTTATTTGCGTATTGCCTGAGTTCATATTCTCGCAACGTATTCTCGCTAACACTTGCCACGTTTATCGTATGGTACCACGCGTGCCAACAGTCCGCCATTTTGGTAATCCGTTTGTTTCCGTGGCATTAAATCGCTTTGTAGACATCGATGATCCGTATTATGAGCTGAAATCGTTCATGTCTGCTTCCATGCCCGCTGTTGCCTTGAGATTTACCGAATTCACGATCGAAGTCTAAAACCCGATCCAGCTTCTACATTGGGTGAACGGAATTTTCCTGAATACCTGTCCGATAGGCGCGATCGCCGTAACTGGCAAGCATTATATGAATTCATCGGTGCATTCATCATAAGCCAGTTACGTTGTGATGAGAATAGATCGTGGTGGTTGAGATCGCCTGGGAGCATTGACTGAGCGGGCTCTTCATCACCGTCGCATGGCTCAGTGCGCGGAGCGCGGTTTTGCCCGGGCGCGCCCGTGGAAGAAGGATGTCTTCTTTTTGTGAGGAGGAGGATCCCAGCCATCAGTGCAGCCTGTTATGTGGTCTAGCCGGGCCCACTGCCAGGACGACTGGCTTGGGCTCGGCCCTGAGCTGCCGAAGCTCGCGGTCCCTGGCCTGTGGGCCGGACTCAGCGCCGGCCGGTCCAGACACGCTCTCGTGCGTCCCGCCCTCGGCGGCCAGCGCGGCGCACTTGTGGCCAGCGGCCACCGGCGGCGCCGGTGACGTCAGCCCTGTCAGGCCCGGCCCGCCTGTTGACGCTGTCCCAACAGACGGCCGTGCCTGGCTTGGCGACGGCCCGAGCTTTTGTTAGGCGGTCCCGTCAGTCAGGTGCGGCCCTCCTGCTCGTCCTCAGACGGACTCCGGCTCACGGTCACCACAGGACCTGACCGGCCGCCGCCCGCTGTCTCGGCTGGCCGGCAGGTGTGGCTGTACACTCAGACGCAGAGCCTGGCGGCGTTCGCTCCCGGGTTGGGCCGCTCCCGGCCGCGCCTCTCGCCCGTCTGCGCGGTGAGCCCGGCCGGGCGGTGCGCGGCGCGGCGCGGCGCGGCGCGGCGTTGCCGGCGGCCCGGCACAGCGCCGCGCCTCGCCACGCCACGCAGCGCGGACGTGCCGGGCGGCCGGCGCGCGTCACACCGGCTGCGGTCGGCGGTATGCCGACAGTTCGGCCGCGCACGAAACCCGCCGCGGTCGGCCGGTACGGCCTGATTCGATTGTCCAAATTACCGGCGAGGCCGCTCGACTGGGTCAATATTGGCGCCGCGGGGAGCACCGGGGCGTAACAGCGTCGGCATGCGGAGCCGGCGCACCTGGGGGCGGTCGGCCCGGCTCGGCGCGAGCCTGTGCCGTGCGGACGCCGCCGCGGGCGCGTTCGGCGGCGCCCGCGGTGCACCTGTGCGCGGTCGGCGTCAGTGCTATTGACCCGACCGCGGACACCGTCGCTGCACACCGATGCCAACGAGTCGACCCAAATCGGCGGAGGGCAGGGCCGAGAGTGGCGGCAGCGGCTGCGCTGCGGCCGGCGGCTCCACGTCCTCCCGAGCCGTGAAGGGAATCCCGGCTCCTGCCAGCCCGGCGCGGACGGCCCGCGGCGGGCTCCCGCTCGCTGCGGTCCTCGGTAACGGCACGCGACGGCGTGAGAGCGCAAGTTTTGCGAAACGGACGCCGGCCGGCTGTTTAGGATGCCCGCCAGCTG